AGTGCACTGTGCTTTCTTGAGAGAACCCTATGAGAAACAGGCAAATTTCTAATGTTTTCTATTTTACTTTCTGAGTTTTCTATTGTGTTTCCTAATGATTACTGAGCTTGAATGTATATTTAATTTTGAGTTTCAATATGTTTTGACAGGAATTAGAGTGCTCTGTGGAGATTATGTGAATATTATGAGACAATGTGAAAAGTGAATATGAGATATGAAATATGATGATATGTGACAATGAGACATGATATATGAGTAACTATGAAAATTAAAGGGATGAATCCATGAAATGTGAATGTGTGTGACATGCATCATGTGCATTTATGTGAAGGGTACGATATGAAGTACACCGTAGGGAAGGCCCTCCTTGTGTAATAGCTCGGGGGTGTCCTGGGATAATGTGGTTTGGATGTCTCGATTCCACCCGTTTGTGAGCACGAGACGTAACTTGCACAACTTCACTATCCCGACCAGACCCTAGCAGTACATCCTTCTAGTTGAGAGTGTATGGGTAGCTCCCTACATGTACTCTCAGACTACCTTAGGTGTGTTGTTTAGGCAGCACACCAGTGATATGTGATATGTGATTGGCGCCACATGCATGCATTTATGAGTCGAGTCCATGACATCATTACATGTGATATTGATTGTGTATATGTATTGTTTACATGTGATTTGTGCTTGTGACTTGTATTATGTTTGTTGTGTGTGTGTATTGTCTAACCTTTATTTGTACACCTGAACCTGAGTGAGATGTTTCTCACTTCCCTGTTTGCTCTATGTGTATTTTTATTGTGTTGAAGGTGATCATCAACATGAGGATGTTGGTGATGAGGCTTAAGCTTCAATTGGGAGTGCTCTGATAGGATCTGTGACATCGGGACATAGTTAGGACTAGTTTAGGGCTTTAGTTTCTTTCTTGTTTGGAAAACCTTTAACTTTATTTCTTTTGTAATTTCTACAAGTGAGCTATGATTATGTATGTGAATGTGAATCCTTTACCTATTTGTTAATTGAGAAAGTTTTTATTCATTCAAATTTTATCTTACATTATGTCGAGGTAGAGGGTGTCACAACTTTCATTAATGCTTAGGCTTGAAAGAGGAATGAAGCAGAGGGCCTTGGTTTTAAGCCTGTTTCTTTTTGCACCGATAATTCTTTTTGTGGTTGACTTTCCTTTATTATACGTTGCACTAGTTTAGACCCACTTTACCATTTTGCACTCATACAAAAAAATAAAGTAACATAGCATTTATAACATTCACAAATTAATAGAGCATTTATCATAACATGTTTTTTGAATGTTTGAATTTGTTGCTTATTATTTAGTATGGTCATATATATATATATATATATATATATATATATATATTAGTTATTTATTTTTAAAGATTATTGATTTATTTTAATTAATTAATGATGTGACATCCTTGCACCATAAATCTACTATTATGATATTATTAAGAAAACATTTTTTTAGAAAAGATTAAATAAATCAAATCTCTTTATAATACTTGTAAAAGGGGTCACAAGCATGTTAATTTTACTTAATAAAATCTTCGTTATTAAACAAATGAAATAAAAACAAAGTATAAGTTCATAACATAGGCCCAAATTCACCTTTAAAATCTTCAAGAAAACCAACATAATGAGACAACTATAATTTAAAGGCATAACACAAAATCCTTTAACCCCGATGTCACGCTACCAAAATAAGACACATGACATAACATTAAAGTCTCAATGTTCAACTCTCTCATGCTCAACCTCATATAATTGATCAGGTCTTGCATAACATTTAGTCCAAACAAGAAAACAACCATAAAAATCACAAGAGGAGTGAGAATATATCTCACACATGTTTAAGTACATATAAGGCATAAGGATAATACTAAAAGACATACATCATAATTAAACTTCTTACATGCATTTTTAATTCCAACATCCAAGGCAACACTTATCTCAATAAAATTAATCACTTTACATTCATTCATTATCAACAATCATTCATGTAATTTAAGAAATCTCAATTGTAATTAAAGACTCTTACAAATGCATTCGCTTAACAATACAGACATGTGGTACCAATCTCCTCATCATCATCAACTCAAGGCAGCCTAGGAGCCATGGACAGATCACAAAACACTTGACCCTCTCAATCCACTCTCAGCTAGGGGATATATACTAAATTCCAACTTAAGTATTAGAGTCGGTCATGATTACCTCACACCCCCGTTAAAGGCTCCTTACCCTAATACCCCTAAGGTCTAGGTAGATGACCATAGAGACCATCCTACATAGATTCACATTATCTTGCAAACAAAGTATGAACTCATGGAATCTACACACAACAATATAACACCACAAGAAATGCAATGATCACTTAAGGTTAAGCACTTAAATTAAGGATAAAATAATTCACCATTACAACTAGTGACGGATCCAGAAATTTTAGATAGTGGGGGCAAAATATATATTTGTAATATTAAAAATTTTATATATAAATTTTAAAAATATAAATATATCATAATTATTTTTT